GCACACGTGACAGTGCGTTGCGCTGTTAAACTTTTCCCACTCGTCTCGCGTGAAATCTGCCATGGGTATATTAGTGGACAATATAGTTTTTACGTCGTGAGCTAAACGTCTTAGCTTTTCGGCGAACCACGCGATGCAATCCTTATCGCGACGAAACCGATACATAGATAACGACTCGTCGTACGAGCAACGCACGTAGTACCCTATGCTAAACACGCGATGATGTTGATATGTGTACCTGGACGTTTCCGGATCCGCTTCCATCTTCTCCAGGGTAAACTCTAGGTCGGCGTATACGACAAACGGAACTCGTTCCTTCCTGTTGTGATTTTTAAAGGCCAACCACTTGTCGTTATCGCTCGGTAACTTGATCGCAGTCATTCATCTCCTGACAGTCGACGGTGTGGGCAGCCAATTTCTCGTTGGAGCTGAAGTAGTGCAAACATCTGCAAAAAAAAATAAACGCAAATATTATAAATTGTTTATACACAAAATATTCTATATATTATTAAAAGAACACTATAGGTACTTACCGATCGCAAAAGTATTTCCTGTGCTCTTTTTTACTGATTTGCGAGCTCACGAGGCGGGATAAGTTCTTGATCCACGCAAAATGTCCCACGTTGTCGTTATGCACGTACAGCAGATTTACGTGTCTGTTCATCTTTTGGTCAGTAACCCGTATTGGTAGGATTGCAAGTTCCTTGTTTTTTTTCTCGATGCTGTACACGTTGATGGAAATGTTGTTCTGATTTTCAAATTTTTTAATTTGATCCAACGTCATTGGAAACTTAATGTCCGTAAGATCTAGCACCGACGTGTAATGTGGATACGACGATTTCCGATCTGCGTGTTTCTCAACTGGATACAGAGCAGCCACCACTGACCATGCGAAACATGCATTGTCTATTGATCGCACATTTATCACCGTCTTCTTCTTTTTAATTTCTTGCGGTATTTCCACAAAACACCCCGCGTGCAATGGATTGTATTTGTTCACATTTACCATTAAATTGAGTATACGCGACAACGCCCATCCGCTATCACGTTCCTGGAATTCCTCCAGCTTTGCTAAGTTAGGCTCGATGACGTGTTGCTTGTACCACTCGTGCAGATCGGACTCACGAGTTCATAGTTTCTCGTTGCGATACTTTTATTTGCGCGTTTGTCACCCGCAACAAATTCACCATTAAACACTGTGTTAATTTTTACATTGTCATGTCGTTGCATGACGTCCCGCACACGATCGAGTACAATTTCTCTCGCATTTTTGAGAAATTAACGAGGGTCGATGTGTTTGGAATTTATCACCGCACCAGTCAATATACGGCTTTCAAAAGCCGGATCTATCTCGCGCCATCTGAGTCCTGTCTCACTCGCACTGTATCCCGCACCCACATGTACGAAACGTTGACGTACCAAGTCTTTCAAACCTTCGAGTCTTGCGATACAAGCGACCAATGACTGTTTGAGACCGATCGATGACTGATTGATTGATAATCGTGGCCGTTTAATTCGGCTTTGTTCTTCCAACGATTCGATAAACTCGTCACATCGTTGCTCCCACGCGGCAAAGTCTTCCCTCGAATTTAACAGGGTGGATTGCTCCAACAACTCCTGCTCCATGTTATTGCACGATCCTCTTGCTAACGCCATTTGTTGCACTCACGATTTCCAGTTTTCGACTATTGAGCGTATCCCCTAGATTCGTCATTTTATATTCTACTAATGATGCATCGTTTGCTTATCATATCTAATTTCATCTCAGCAGCCGTACATTGGCGCTATTTGCAAAATTTGCAGTTTTGCACGTGTTCGATGAAATCATTGCGAGACACGTACGTTCACGAAAACGCGCCATTGACTTTTAGTGATTTGATCTGTATCAATGCAGCAGCCGTACATCGGCGCTATTTGCAGTTTTGCATGTGTTCGATGAAATCATCGCGAGACATGTCGCGACATGTTCTTCAAAACAATAACGCTCCATTGACTTATGCGAAATTGCAAAATTTGCAGTTTTGCACGTGTTCGTTAAAATCATCGCGAGACACGTCGCGACATGTTCTTGAAAACAATAACGCTCCATTGACATGCGAAATTGCAAAATTTGCAGTTTTGCACGTGTTCGATGAAATCATCGCGAGACACGTATGCTCTTGAAAAGAAATCATATTTGATGCCCGATGAGGTGATCTCATCACGAATGTTCTTGACAAAGATATCACATTTAACGTATATGTGGATTGTGGTGGCGGTCACCATGCAGCAGCCGTACATTGGCGCTATTTTTGCAAGATTTGCAGTTTTGGGTATGTATAAATGGTCTACGAGGATTCTAGAGCGCAGTCGAGAGTTCGATACGGTTCGAGTACGTCGCAAACAGCCTCCAGATACGATGAACATTCACGGTGCGAACTACTACGTTCCAATTCAGGACGAAACGTGTGAGAAACAGCACAATGAGTAAGTACCGATAATTTTCATATATACTTGTGCAAAAAAAACTTTTATAAACATATAATTGTATTTTTTCAGTTTTGATAAACCCCGCTACACGCCACGTATTTTGGGAAGGAGATTTGCCTTGACATCAACAGCGTATAAATTTTTGGATGTTGGAATCAACGCGGGACCTATGTCCTCTGTGGATATACTTATTGGCGATAACCGAGGCAATCGGATAATTCTGCTACATGCAACGTGGGTGACATTCATCGAAAAACGTGCAGATATACAGCGACTCGTGCAGTCATCGGCACCATCATCGCTAACGTTTCGAGATCTGGAGCTTGTTAAAATACGTGACGCAGATATTGTAAAATTGACGTCGTGCGGCACCAGCTTGTACATGAAACCGTCAACTGTACTCTTTCTGTTCGAACTAGAACATTGCGTCGAGAATGTGTATTTTCAACTATGTCCAAATGTTCACGGCGTAAGTGAAAAATTCAAACAGTTTGTAACAATTTTACGTCAAAATTGTATCACTGATAAATGTAACGCAGTTACAATCTTGCGTGACGTTTATGATAAAAATTCGATTATTGATTGCGAATTATTAGCCTACGCTTTGGATAGTATTGTGTATAATGCGCTACATGATAAATAAATGCATATAATATGATTAAAAAGTTTTTCCTTTTCATTTACCGTTCTTTTTTGTTAAGTTGTCTTTATTTAATAATTTTTGCATAATTTTTGAACGAGAACGCGCGAGAGAAAGAGACCGCGCGAACGAGAAGACTCGCGCAAACGGGGAGGGACGGGGACGCAAGACACCGCGCGAACGAGAAAACTCGCGCAAACGGGGGGGGACGGGGACGCAAGACACCGCGCGAACGAGAAGACGCGCGCGACCTGGGGACGGGGGGGGAGGACATCTACGAGGGGGAGATAACGCGAGCGTGCCGTGTGACGTCACGCGGACTCCGCGGCGCGGCGAAACGTGATCGCGGACCCCCTCGCCCCGTGGCACCCGAAAACGCGAACGCTCCGCAGCGCGGCAAAAACGCTGACTCCCTCGCCCCGCGGCGCCGGAAAACGCGGTCACCTCGCGGCGCTGGAAAACGCGATTCCCCCCTCCCCCGCGACACCGGAAAACGCGGACCCCCTCCTCCGCGACGCCGGAAAACGTGGTTTCCCCCTTCCCCTCCCCGCGGCGCCCGAAAAAACGCGGTTCCCCCCTTCCCCTTTTCCCGCGGCGCCCGAAACGCGCGGTCCCCCCTTCCCCTCCCTGCGGCGCCCGAAACGCGCGGTTTCCCCCCTTCCCCTCCCCGCGGCGCCCGAAACGCGCGGTTCCTTCCTCCCCCGCGGCCCCCCACCCCCGAGTCCCCCCCGCGGTCTTTCCCCGCGGTCCCCCCCGCGGTTTCCCCCCGCCCCTCACCCCCCTTCATTGCCCCATGGGTTAGAACCGGCCTAGCTTACCTACTCTCGAGCCTGGTCCAGTTTCGATGCACCGGTGAGAGCATCGTCCATGTAGAAGTCTTCAAGAAAAACCCTGCAAGCCAGGGGAAAACGCCTTCGCTCGTCCTCAGACAACTGCAGCAACGATCGAACGACGAGAAATGAAGCCGGCACAGTACCATAAGTTGCCGTGTTCAAAATGTATATTTTGATCGGATCCTCTGTATTTCTACGCCATAAAATCATTTGATATTTGCCGTCCTCGGGGTGTACCTTAACCTGCCTATACATTTTCTCAATGTCGGCACTCAGTACATATCGGTGGGTTCGAAATCTCGTAACGATGGAGAACATGTCCTCCTGCAGGGTCGGACCAGCGAGAAGCACATCGTTGAGCGAAACGCCAGTACTGCTCTTTGATGAAGCGTTGAAAACAACTCGCAATTTTGTTGTATGGCTGTCACGCTTGAAGACGGGGTGATGTGGAATAAAATATCCTTCTTCGGCCACATCGGAGACAGGGATCTCAGTCATGTGATCAAGCCTCTCATACTCGTCAAGGAAATCCGTATACTCCTCACGCAATTGAGGATCTCGTGCCAATCTCCTTTCCAGTGAATACAGCCTTTTCTTTGCTGTTTGATAAGAGTCGCCCAGTTCGCATTTTCTACTGTTAAACGGAAGCCTAACTATATAACGGCCACTCTCATCCCTCGAGTGCGTCTGAGAAAAGTGTTGTTCGCACGCCCTCTCATCATCGGACAAACGCCTAACGCTCGAGACCTCCTCAATTTCCCAGAATTTAGCGACCTGGGCATCCAGCGAGTCTACCACTAAATTACATGCTATTCGATTTGACGCAGGCCCCCTATCGTGTATAGCTCCCGACAGTATCCAACCAAGACGCGTTTTTTGTAATATCAGCGCATTGCCTAATTTGATCTGACCCACGCATAACAATTGGTAAAATAGTTCCGCTCCCATAAGAGCGTCAATCTTTGAATGAGTGCAGAATTCGGGATCTGCCAAGGTGATATTTCGGGGAAGATTTAAATCGCAACGGTTAATCGTCTGTGCAGAAAGTGTCTCTGTAATTCGAGGGACCACCAAAAATAACAACTTCGCAGCAAAACGTCCATCCCTTGACTGAAGGGTCGTTGCAATAGAATGCTTAATATGCGTTAAGCTTTGATTAAAACCCGACACCGGAATATTAACTTCTCTCTTAGTGAGATTCAGAATACCGCTTAATTTCTCAGTAACAAAGTTAGACTGAGACCCGTTATCCAACAAGACTCTACATTTGACAGGCTCTCCGCAGTCATTGAGCATACGCACGGATGCCGTGGCCAAAAGAACTCTCGAAGCGACGACCGCTTGGAGACTTGCGATTGGATTGGCGTTTGCCGCATTAGAGCTACCAGATCCTCGATCAAATGAATCACCTTCAGAGTGAAGAAGGGTATGATGCTTACGTTTACACTTTCTACACGTAGCGTATTTACATTCGTCAACCAAATGATTTGGTCTTAAACAATTGTAGCAGAGCCCCATGGATTTCACCTTGGCAAATCTCGCGTTGCGAGTCATCCTACGAAACTGTTCGCATTGAAATATGTTATGGTTCTGTTTGCAAATACACTCGGATTTAGCGTAAACGGTCACAAGGGTCGGCCTCGCCGTTTGCTTCGTATTACCTCGCATATTGCTCGATCGCAATTGATTTCTCGCCGCGTTATTCGACTGACTCGAATGAACCGAGATTTCCTGACTTACGTTTTCCAAAACATGACAGCGATTTTTTAAAAACTTCCAAAAATCATCAATAGACGGCATATCGGTTCCGTCAAGAGAACGCTCCCATTCTTGATGAAAATTTCGATCGAGTTTTGATGTTAATAAATGAAAAAGCAATGCGTCCCACGATTCGGTCGGTTGACCAAGAGCATGAAGTGCTCGCGTGTGTCTTAAAGCGGCATCGACCAACGATCTCAATTGTGTTGAAGATTCCTTAGATATTACCGAAAGATCAAACAACGCGCGAATATGGCTCTGTATTATTATTCTTCTATTATCGTACCGTTCCACTACGAGAGCTCATGCTACTTCGTAATTTTGTGATGAGGTTTCTAGAGATTGAATTACCTGAGCGGCTTCGTTTATCAACGATGATTTTAAATATTATAGTTTCTGAACAGGAGAAAGGTTCTCGTTATCATGTACGATCGATTTGAAATTATCATAAAAGCCCATCCATGCCTCGTAATTACCACTAAAAGTAGGCAAGTTAATTGTAGGGAGTTTTATATTCGCTTTCACGTTTTGTACAGAAAGCTGGTTTTGAATTATTACATTATCGTTAGTCGCGGTGGGCCTGACAGACGCAAGTCGACGCTGGGCACGCGCCCCAGTTCAAAATATGCTTTCTCAAAATACGTTCTTTCGTTGTCATCTAATTGTGTGCCCGTAACGGTATCATTTAAATCAATACTAGTCTGTACCTCATTAAAGCTATCCCACGTAGTTTTAAATTTTTCTAAACGCTCAATCAATTGCTGTTCATCCGGACGCTCAGACCATTTTTCTAAATAACTCCTGAATCGAGTCAGTTGCCCCTTTATTGCCGCACGTCTCTGTACAAGCGCACGCATCTCGTCGGCCATCGTGTCAGTAATTAAAATTGACAAATATGAAAAAAAAAACGAACTTTCGGTTAACACGCAAATACAAGATACGCTTTGAATGATATAAATACGCAAATATAAATACAGTTGAATTTTGTCGATATGATTTCGACGTTGTCTTCTGTGTTCGTTGTCCTGTTATAGTAGTGTCTCTCTCTCGCTCTCGTGAGCCGCAAGCCTTGTCCTCTACGGTACGCCTCGTGTATGCCTCGTGATCAAGTTTGTGTGTCGTTGTCTCTCTCTCTCTCTCTCTCTCTCTCTCTCTCTCTCTTTTTTTCTCTCCCCCCCTCCCTTTCTCCCTCTCCCTCTCCCTCTCTCTCTCTCTCTCTCTCGTATATTTCAGCGGTCGACTCGTCCCAGCAGATATGATTAAAAACGAGCGCTGCCGAATTGAAAATTTTCAATTAGATGATATCTTAATTTTTGTGTGATCTCACCCTTGAGCAAGCCTGGATAGATATCATTCGAATCGCCATGGATTTTCCGGAAGTATCCGGCTCGAAGGACCAGAAATGTTGGGACGGATGCGTTCGGTCTTATGCGCGCACGACGGTCGTCCGTGTAGTGGCAAAGTTTTTACGCTCTGGACCACTTATTTTTTTTTATATACTTTAATGATAGGTAGAAGTAGCCAATACGTTCTGATTATATTAACACCGCTCTATAGTTTATTTCGATTATCACGAGGAATATATGTGCGGCGCGTGCGGCCATGTTACAATGACGATACTGTCTGTGTCGAATTCTGTATAAAGACTACTACAAAATGTGACCTGTGTGCGACCATGGTACAACGACGACTGCTCCGAACGTCTGTCGGGTTCGCTCCGATTCGAGTCGGGAAGATAGCATAGAAAAGAGGGGGGGGGAACGATGGCGCATGGCCGTACAATATCACGCAAAATCCCGACACTGTCTCTCGTAGATAGTTTTCTCGAGATAACTACTCTGGATCCCCAAATGACACATCCCTTGTAAGTGGATAGTTTGTCTCGTTTGATCCGATAACTTTTGTATTGCTGGTTGCTTTTAGCTGGCTATCCATGTTCTATCCATTTTTTTATTTTCTAAAAGTCCTTGTCCTGATTTGTCTCGCTTGCGAGTGATTCTGGTATGATCGGGTGGATATTATCATTTTTGATCATTAGGATTTCTTGATAGGTTTCTTGTTCTTTTTCAAGTTTTTCCGTTATTGGTTTGACAGAAAGTCTGCATTTCCATGTTTTTTTCCTGGGCGATAGATTAGCTCGTAGTCGTATGCACTTAGCACTACGGCGTATCTACTTACAATTAGTTTTGGTGATATAATTTCTGGTGTTGGGCGATGTGGGTCGAAGATTCCGCACAAGAGTTTGTGGTCCGTGATTAGGTTGAATCTTCTTCCTGCTAGGTAGTAGTGGAAGTACTTTACGACTTCCACTAAACCTAGGGCTTCTCTATTTAATTGAGAGTAGTTTCTCTGCGTTTTGTTCAACGTTTTTGACCAAAATTCTACAGGATGTTCAGTTTCAACTTCCAGGACGTTTGATAATATTGCTCCTAGGTCAATTGGCGAGGCGTCGGTGAACATTACTATAAGTCTTGCCTGGTCGAAGTGGCACAATATTGGTGCGGAAGCTAACTGTTTTTTTAGCTGTTCATACGCGTCTGCGTGTTTTTGGTCCCACTTCCAAGGGGTGCTCTTGTCTAGTAGCCGGTAAAGTGGTTCTGCTATTATCGCTCTATTTTCTAGGAAGCGGCTGTAAAAATTTAGACCCTAAGAATATTTAAAGCTCGTCGACCGATGTCGGTGCCGGCATTTCCAGTATGGCTTTTACTTTTTTTCTTAGCGGTTTTATTCCTTCTGCAGAAATCTGGTACCCGAGAAATTCCATACTTTTCACACCGAAAATACATTTTTCTTTGTTAATTTGTAGGTTTGCTTCTTGAAGGCGTTTGAGCACTTGGTGAAGCCGTTCGTCGTGCTCTTCAACTATTCTTCCATGGATTTTTATGTTATCTAAGTACACTAGAATTCCTAGTATTCCTTGAAGTCGTGATACCATGAACTTTTGGAAAATGCGCGGTGCTGGACTAAGTCCATCAAGCATTACATTTGTATAGAGACCGTTTGGAGTGCTGATTGTTAGCTTCTTAACTGTTTCCGGATCGACTTGGATTTGTTTGTAGGCGTTTTTGCTTCCTCATAGAGGAAGCTTTGTTTTCGTTTAAAGAAAAAATTTTTTTGTTTTTCTGAATGTGTTCAGAATGTTCTAAAACGTCGAAAAATTGCAATTTAAAAAAAAAATCATGCGTGTGGTTGCCACGCGCGTTAGAAGTGAAACTTCTGAAGGCAAGGTTTTGCCATAACTTTTCTGAAATTAATGCAAAAACAATGTAACGGAAATAGTCACTCCAAGCCGCCCGCAACTCGAAAATATAGTGTTACACGCAGTTCTCACTATATCCGTCTCGCCAGTGCCGCGCCGTACGCCTGATTGAATTTTCGTGACGCGTTTTTGAGTCGCAAAATCGAATTTACTTACCGATCCAAAAGGAGTTTCACTTTGTACGCCTGTTGGTCGAATTTTCGTGACACTATTGCGGCACGTTTTTTCGTGTCGCACAATCGAACTTACTACCGTACTAAAGAAGTTTCATTTCGTACGCCTATTGGTCAAATTTTCGTTACACTTTTTGTGTCGCACAATCGAACTTACTACCGTACCAAAAAAGTTTCATTTCGTACGCCTATTGGTCGAATTTTCGTTACACTTTTCGTGTCGCACAATCGAACTGACTACCGTACTAAAGAAGTTTAATTTCGTACGCCTATTGGTCGAATTTTCGTTACACTTTCTGTGTCGCACAATCGAACTTACTACCATACCAAAGAAGTTTCATTTCGTACGCCTATTGGTCGAATTTTCGTTACACTTTTCGTGTCGCACAATCGAACTTACTACCGTACCAAAGAAGTTTAATTTCATACGCCTATTGGTCAAATTTTCGTTACACTTTTCGTGTCGCACAATCAAACTTACTACCGTACCAAAGAAGTTTCACTTCCGTTACACTTTTTCGTGTCGCGAATCGAACTCACTACCGTGCCTAAAGAAGTTTCACTTCAAAAATGTCTGTACGTATGTATGTGCGTATGTGTGTATGTGTGTATGTGTTTGTGTGTGTTTATGTGCCAAATTTACCGAAATTTCTATAACTTCAGAACTAATCAACCAAATCTTAACGAATTATATATGAAATAGGGGTAGAAAAAACTAAAGAATATAATAGTTAATAATCAAAGGGTTCTTTTTAAAAAAAATTTTGAATTTTTGCTCTGTTGTCTGTTAATGCTCTAAGATCCGTAATTTTTTAGATATCGGAGTGCATTTTTTTAATCGATAGAGATATCATGTAAGGAAGGTTGGGATTGAATTTGGCAATGATCGGTAAAGCGGTTCTTTTTTAATAAAATTTTGAATTTTTATAAAAATGTTTGTTTATGCTTTAACTTCCGCGGAAATATCGATCTATTTCTAATTTTATTATATTTTTCAGTCTTTTCTACTCCTATTTCATATATAATTTTTTAAAATTTAGTTGGTTAGACCCAGCTTTATACGCGATCAAAGGTCCATAATTTTAATCGCATACAAAGCTAAGTCTAATCAACCGAATTTAAAAAAATTATATATGAAATAGGGGTAGAAAAGACTAAAAAATATAATAAAATTAGAAATAGATCGATATCTCCAAATTTGCGGAGGTTAAAGCTTTCTCTATGAGAAAGCCAAGAGCAAATTTCTAATTTGCACAATTTTTTAGCTTCATTGTCTGATAATTTTTTTTAAGTTTATTAGAGAGCAGCGGTGTTTTTATATTTATTTGTAATGGACAGTCATTAGGACACTTGTTTGTTTTTAA